TTGTTTTCAGATTGTCTCTAATAAACTTGTTAAAAAAGTATAACTGTTCAATTTTCAAGTGATGTTAATATTTTGCTAAGGGAAGCCTGACATATCGATTTTGTCCATGAGAAACGTCATATGTTCATTTCTCTGGAGACACACCCCACCCCCCGCCTTAGAAACGTCACACATAGTTATCAATATTTTGTTCTTATAGTACACATAAGCTAATTTTCTACTATTTTCCACGGTTTGCTATTGGCGATGCTTCTGCGAGGAATATGTCATTTTCTGCTCACATGTTTTTTATTAATATAATATGAACTTCAAAATTTCCAATGTTTCTTCAAATTTCTTTTTTTGCATGAAATATTGACAATTTTAGCAAATTTTTCTTGAAATTTGAGTGTTTTCAATGCAAGGAAGGCGTAAAAATAGAAATGTATAGAACATGTATTACGAATGTATACACTGTCACTGGTGTTTGTATCAAGTTGTTTTGTTTTTTATATTCTGCAATGATGATTCCAGAATGTTAAGGCTGTGTTGTGTATGTACTCAGGTGATGTACTCAGGTGAATAAGATGCTTGCTTGAGTGTATATCCCCACCGGGCAGGCTTGAAAAAAAGGAACTAGACTCAGTTCCGAAATACCGCATTAATTACTTGAACCGTCCTGACCGTGTAGCTCAGTTGGCAGAGCATTGGGCTAGTATTCCAAAGGTCATAGGTTTGTATCCCACCGTGGCCAGGCATATTTTTCAAGCCTACCCGGTGGGGATATACACTCAGAGTAACATCACACAAGCATGTTAAGGCTTTCGAAAAAACTATCGAATTTTTCCATGATGTTTTACAGAGAAACGTCACAGCTGCAAACCCCCACCCCCAAACGAACATATGACGTTTCTCATGGAAAAAATCGATATGTGAGGCTTCCCTTGGCCAAAGGCATTGCACACTCACATATTAATTATTGGAAAAATTGTCCAAGCTCCATAGGGTGCCCAATCTTCATGAAGCATTTTGACTGAGAGTTGACCCTAAATGTTGAACATTATTGACAGTTTGATAAAATTTTGATGCTGTACAAAATATACATACACTGTGTCAATCACTATAAGCCTACTGGCTAGGGGAGTGGGGGGGGGGCTGCCCCCCAAACAAAAAGCAACTTTAGAACGTCATGGAAATTTGGGCAGATTAAATATGTTCAATTCAGGTTATTTCATTGCAATCCTCCAAAAAATTCTGGGCAAACTTTCAACCGCCCTGATTCACGGCAGGGTCTGAAATTTAAATATTTTCTCAGTATCCAACTGGGATACCAGGATTCAAAGTTTAGTACCCCCCCCCCCTGAGAATGCAGTATCCCACTTCTGGATATACTGGTTACCATAAGTATTCTACCCTGTCCCATCCAATAACTCTCGCTGTTACAAATTACAGTAACAACAGGAGATTCAATGTTCAGTCAAGTTGTCAACAACTAGACAATTCATTAATCCACAAAAATGAACATTATATGAGGAAAGGCTTGGGTGGCAAACTCATAGTATTCAAAAGCTATCAGGAGACTGTCTGAGGTGCTTAACATTTTCCTAATGTTTGAAATTTTCTTAGTATCCAGTTGGGATATAAGTCATTTGCAGTTTGGTACCCAAAACCAAATTTTAGTATCCTGTGGATATCGGGATACTGCAAATTTCACCATATAAAATACACATAGCAGCCAACTAGCAAAGAGTTTGGTTAAACTACCTTAATAGATCTTGCAGTTATTTGCTCTTTAAGCTTCTTCTTAAATATATTTGCTTTATTTTTATGAAAAGAATCATGTTGACTTCTTAGGATAACAACAGCATCATCTAAACATAAAACACCAGAAGGTGTTAGGACTCTATCTATCTGTATCTTTCTTACAACTTTCAAATCAAATTCAATTATTTATTATTAATCAATCGATCAGTAAACTTTAGTATCATGACTCACCTAAAGTTAAAATTTCCTGCAAAGCATAAAGAAATTTAGTTTATTACTTTTGGTAATTAATGATGGTGGCATGTACATCCTAGCCAGTGTGCCGATGAGAGGCATTCACCACCCTGAAGTTTCAAAATGGTAGACAATCAGGGAGGTGAATGTATCTCGTAAGCACACTAGCTGGCTAGGAACATGATTGCATGATTGTAAATCATGGTGTGGTGACACGGTTATGCTTTTTTGGCTGAGTTGGCCTTCTGTGATCAACGCATGTCTGCAGATTATATAATATCTATGATCGTTCAATTAATTCAGTGTTTTTGAGCACTCTGTGAGGCCCCATTGATTATTCTCCAATCCGAGTCCGCGTTATGGATTTTTATCTTAGTATTTGGCAGACATGGACCCCAGAATTGAAACCGTCATGCTCAAATTAGTCTAAACCGAACATTTCATGATGTTTGGACATTTGAAAATGTTTTTACTATACATTTGTATATGCAATTTATTTCCACTGCAGTAAAAATTTGCACCCTGAATGTCAAACATCATGTAATTTTCAGAACAGACTAATTTTAGGATAAGGATTTAAAATTCTTAGGTCCATTTCTGACAACTATCTATGGATACCGAGATGAAAAATTGAGATGACGATGATGTCAATATCGGAGAATATTCGATTGGAAAATATCATTATAAATACTGGATGAGCCGATGTAACTTTGTTGTACCAGTCAGAAATCTGAGAATGAGCTAGTCTTGTATCTAGATGTACCACACTGTATTGACGAGGCTATGAATGTTGAAACATGCATTCTGCAGATCTATATACATAAGTAATGGGTCATTCCATTTATTATCCGCACCCCCCCTATGGATGAGCGGATTCCTACCGGTCAGATATTAGGACTTAGGGGATTCCTACTGGTCAGATATTGGGAATTAGCAGATTCCTTCGGCCCGATTCCTACCGGTCAGATATTGCCGTCGAGGTGTAGCATACTATATTGCCAAATATTTATTATGAGAATCATAATCATTCCATTTATTATCCTCACCCCCCCCCCCGGTCTGACATTGGGAATTAGCAGATTCCTACCAGTGAGATAATGGCAATTAGCAGCATTCCTAGGGTTTAGATTGATACTGTCGATTCCAACAGGGTACTTCTCTGAAATCCGATTCCTACAGGTAAATTTTTACCAGAGCTCATCCA